CCCAGTAATCCTTACAGGGTCGACATTATCCGGTATCCGGTCCAGTCACATTACCCAGGATTCCTTACAGTGTCGACACTATCCGGTATACGGTCCATTCATATTACCCAGTAATCCTTACAGTGTCGACATTACCCGGTATACGGTCCAGTAACATTACCCAGTATTCCGTACAGTGTCGACACTATCCGGTATACGGTCCAGTAACATTACCCAGTATCCCGTACAGTGTCCACATTATCCGGTATACGGCCCACTCTCATTACCCAGTATTCCTAACACTGTCGAGTTTTCCGGTATACGGTCCAGTCACATTACCCAGTATTCCTTACAATGTCTACATGATCCGGTATACGGTCCATTCATATTACCCAGTAATCCTTACAGTGTCGACATTATCCGGTATACGGTCCAGTCACATTACCCAGTATTCCTTACAGTGTCGACATTATCCGGTATACGGTCAAGTCACATTACCCAGTACATCGTACAGTGTCGACATTATCCGATATACGGTCCAGTCACATTACCCAGTATTCCTTACAGTGTCGACATTATCCGGTATAGGGTCCAGTCACATTACCCAGTATTCCTTACACTGTCGACATTATCCGGTATACGGTACAGTCACATTACCCAGTAATCCTTACACTGTCGACATTATCCGGTATACGGCCCGGTTACATTACCCAGTATTCCTTACAGTGTCGACATAATCCGATATACGGTCCAGGCACATTACCCAGTATTCCTTACAGTGTCGACACTATCCGGTATACGGTCCAGTCACATTCCCCAGTATTCCTAACACTGTCGACTTTTCCGGTATACGGTCCAGTCACATTACCCAGTATTCCGTACAGTGTCGACATTATCCGGTATACGGTCCAGTCACATTACCCAGTATTCCTTACACTGTCGACATTATCCGGTATACGGTCCGGTTACATTACCCAGTATTCCTTACAGTGTCGACATTATCCGGTATACGGGCCAGTCACATTACCCAGTAATCCTTACACTGTCCACATTATCCGGTATACGATCGATTCACATTACCCAGTATTCCGTACAATGTCGACATAATCCGATATACGGTCCAGTCACATTACCCAGTATTCCTTACACTGTCGACATTATCCGGTATACGGTACAGTCACATTACCCAGTAATCCTTACACTGTCGACATTATCCGGTATACGATCCATTCACATTACCCAGTATTCCTTACAGTGTCGACATTATCCGGGATACGGTCCAGTCACATTACCCAGTATTCCTTACACTGTCGACATTATCCGATATACGGTCCAGTCACATTACCCAGTATTCCTTACACTGTCGACATTATCCGGTATACGGTCCAGTCACATTACCCAGTATTCCTTACAGTGTCCACATTATCCGGTTTACAGTCCAGTCACATTACTCAGTATTCCGTACAGTAGGCAATCCTGGGATAATACCCAGTACGGTATTCCGCTCAGCGATATCACCAAGTGTTCTGTTCATTGATATACCATTGTACTAACTAAACAGTTAAGTGAGATGACCCAGTATTCTGTTCATTGAGAATATCTACAAATCCGTTCAGTGAAATTACTCAGTATTTTGTTCAGTAACATTAACCAGTATTCCGTTCAATGTTATTACCCAGTCGTTTAACAAATGTACCAAGTATTTCGCTCAGTCGAATCACTTGCTATTCACTTCAGCGACATTAATAACAAATATTTCGTTCAATACTATTACCCAGTATCCTGTCTGTGAGATTATCAAAATGTAGTATCCGGTCTGTGACATTAACGCGGACCCGATCTGTGCCATTACCAAGTATCCAGTCTGTGACATAACCCATTATTATTTTTTTCATATTATTCCCGACAAGAAATTGGACAGGAGTGCATCACGTGTCCACCGATAAAAACCGATATTGACTTGTAGCGAGTGATTCTTGTTAAAGAACTGGGTGTTTCTAAAAATAGAATTATGACGTGTCTCCAAACGAACGCATCGTCCCGCTTGCGTAGATTTTTGCTGTGATTTTACTGCGTCCTCTGTTAATATATCTTTTCTCGGGTTGATAAATCCAGGTATCGACCTCAGCCAAAGGCTATATTTGAATATTAAAGACAGGATACTTGGTAATGTAACAGACTGGATGCTCGGTAAGTGTGTGATATTACCAAGTATCCGGTCTGTGAAATTATCCAGTATCCGGTCTATAACATTACCTAGTATCCAGTCGGTGACATTACCCAGTATACGTATTATAACATTACCCAGTATCCTATCTATAACATTACCTAGTATCCGGTCGGTGACATTGCTCAGTATCCAGTCTGTGATATTACCAAGTATCCGGTCTGTGATATTACCGAGCATCCAGTCTGTTACATTACCTAGTATCCTGTCTTTAATATTCAATTTTAGCATTTGACTGAGGTCAATACCTGGATTTATCAACCCGGGAAAAGATATATTAACAGAGGACGCAGTCCGAGGTTAATATATCTTTTCTCGGGTCGATAAATCCAGGTATCGACCGAAGTCAAAGGCTACAACTGTTTTATTATTTTCAAAAGAGTAATGTTAGCAATCTGAAAAAGTATCACAGCAAAAATCTACGGAAGCGGGACGATGCGTTCGTTTGGAGACACGTCATAATTCTATTTTTAGAAACACCCAGTCCTTCAACCTAAATAGCGCGCTCCAAGTCAATATCGGTTTTTATCGGTGGACACGTGATGCACTCCTGTCCAATCTCTTGTCGGGAATAATATGAAAAAATAATAACATTACTTAGTATCCAGTTGGTGACATTACTCAGTATCCGATCTACAACATTTCCCGGTTTCCGGTCTGTGATATGACCAAGTATCTGGTCGGCGATATTACCCAGTAGCCAGTCTGTGCCATTACCAAGTATCCCTTGTGTGACATTATCCAGTATTCTGTCTGTGACATTATCCAGTATTCTGTCTGTGACATTATCCAGTATTCGGTCTGTGACATTTATCAGTATCCGGTCTGTGACATTACCCAGTCTCCGGTCTTTGATATTACCCAATATCCGGTCTATAACATTACTCAGTATCCGGTCTTTGATAAAGCCCAATATCCGATCTATAACATACACGGTAACCGGTCTGTGACATAACCCAGTATCCTTTCTATGACATTACCCAGTATCCGGTCTGTGATATTTCCCGGTATTCGGTCTGCGATATTACCCAGTATCCGGTCTGTAATATTACCCTGTATGAGGTCTGACATTTCTCTATATCCGGTCTGTAACATCACCCAATATCAGGTCTGTGACATTGCCCAGTATCCGGTATATGATATTACTAAGCATTCGGTCTATGATTTTACCGAGCATCCGGTCTGTGACATTACCAAGTATCCGGTCTGTGACATTACCCAGTATCCGATCTATAACATTTCTCAGTATCCGGTTTATAACATTACCCAGTATCCGGTCTTTGATATTACCCAATATCCGGTCTATAACATACCCGGTATCTGGTCGGTGACATTATCCATTATCCGATTTATAACATTACCCAGTATTCGGTCTGTATCATTACCCAGTATCCGTTCTGGGACATACACCAGTATCCGGTCTGTGACATCACCTGGTATCCGGTCTTTTAAATTACCCAGTATTCCGGGTTTAAGGAAAATTACCAGTATTTTGTTGAGTGATACGCATGTTTATCGATGTGAGTTTGTATATGTGCCATCACTGCCACCATCCGGATTTAAACATTATATGAATGTGAAAGTAAATCGATTAAAAACTCCATACAACGTTGATGGAAGAAATCTGTGTTAAGTTCAAATACAAAAATGAACGAAATATGATTTTTTTAATCGGATACATATAAAGTTCCAAACAATTTAAACCGGACGTCTGAATTATTTGGCTAGTGCAGCTACAACACTACATCTACCATAAGAAATGCATTGTTTAATTTCAAGTACATTCGAATGTTATACAGAGACGGTTTTAGTCTTTGACAAAATGAATTTATTCACAATGTTCATTTCAAAAGATGACACTAATAATAGTTAACAACATATATATATATTTTCAATTATAGTATATCAATTCTATCTTCTTGTAATATGATGTATATGTACATGTAACTGTTCTGTTTCACTGTGTCTTGAAAAAGGAGCGGATCGCTCCGAAAATTTGACAACCTAAACTTGTCCACACTGTTGGAATTACTTCTTTGCCCCATATATATTTATATATATAAATAAAACAAAACACGAAGACTAGTATAATCGGCTAGCGCTTTCGCCCATCTTGGGGCTCTTCAGGCGATTAAAATTTATTTGTGACGTCATAAATGGAGTACACATACTTAAGACGTAATTGACAAAGGTGCGCAGTTACATGTAAATATATGTACATGTTAATATGAACTTGATAAAATAGATATAACACATTCTTGGTTTCTTGATAAACACTTTTGTAAATGTGATTTTTGACGAGTGCTGGGTGATGTTTCTTGGGTGCATAGCACGGGCGAAGGTTGTCAACATATGTAAAGAACATCCAAAATCAAGATGTATATTTTTGTAAGTGATCATTGCCGATTGGCCAAGTCCAGTTCCTCTACACATTGATAGTAGGTTAAACATTTCACACTGATAGTCCGACAAGCCCTTTAAAAATGGTATTGCCACCCTTAATGTCAACCTATTGATAAGTCATATTTAAAGACTCCAGTTCAACATCGGAATTCAAACTTATGTTCTCTACATTTTATATAGAACGGAATGGCATCATCCACAATACCGGTATTTAAGGAGAACATCCTAAGAGTGCCCAGTATAATAATATCCAGTATTGAACCACTTGATGATTAAATCTTCCAAGTCATGATCAGAGGGCGAGTTGGAGTGGTGGTGTGTTGAGGTTTTCCTCTCGGTGATGGCCAAATCCTATATCTACCAGTAAAATATTGGTAGACGTTCACCAAGTCGATGGCACAAATGAAGAGGATGGGTATAGCCAACATAACAATACCCAGTAGAGCTCCTATGACCGCCGAGGACTTCCGAGAATCTGGAGCAGACATTTTCTTCCTAACAGCCGCTGTAATTGACAAAGAGAATGCTTCAAACAGATACATGTACCCCTTCATTATCACGAAATTGATTCTGGATACAATTCTTCAATGTTACATTTTTTTTTGAGTTTGCGTTTTGATAACTCTAAACGTTTTTCTCCATTCTTTTGATTTTTCCACAATTTGTATTTATTTTCTGATTGTGTTTGATTCCCTCTTTGCTGTTAAGTCTAACAACATGTATTCCCTTGTGTTGCGTCAATTGCACTTTTCTCTCGCCGCTGTTCTTTTGCTTAAACTTACTTGACAGATGAACCTTTCAAGACGCTTTACTGTTCAAACTAACTAAACGTTAATGTTTTAACAAGCTGATGTTCTGTGTATCCAACGACATTTATGTTTGAACAAGCTTATGGTCTGTGTTTCCAGCTTATTCGACATATATGTTTTAACAAGCTTAATGGTCTACGTATACTACTAACTGGACATTTTATGTTTTAACAAACCGATGTTCTATGTATCCAACTTATTCGACATTTATGTTTTAACAAGCTGATGTTCTATGTACCCAACTTATTCGATATTTTGTGTTTTAACAAACTGATGTTCTAAGTACCCAACTTATTCGACATTTTGTGTTTTAACAAGCTGATGTTCTATGTATCTAACTTATTCGATATTTATGTTTTAACAAACTGATGTTCTGTGTATTTAACTTATTCGACATTTATGTTTTAACAAGCTGATGTTCTATGTACCCAACTTATTCGACATTTTGTGTTTTAACAAGCTGATGTGCTATGTATCTAACTTATTCGATATTTATGTTTTAACAAACTGATGTTCTGTGTATCTAACTTATTCGACATTTATGTTTTAACAAGCTGATGTTCTATGTATCTAACTTATTCGATATTTATGTTTTAACAAACTGATGTTCTGTGTATCTAACTTATTCGACATTTATGTTTTAACAAGCTGATGTTCTATGTCCCCAACTTATTCGACATTTATCCCCCAACAAGCTGATGTTCTATGTCCCCAACTTATTCGACATTTTGTGTTTTAACAAGTTGATGTTCTATGTATCTAACTTACTCGACATTTATGTTTTAACAAGCTGATGTTCTATGTATCTAACTTATTCGACATTTGTGTTTTTTAACAAGCTTATGTTCTATGTATCTAACTTATTCGACATTTGTGTTTTAACAAGCTGATGTTCTATGTATCTAACTTATTCGACATTTATGATTTAATAAGCTTGATGTTTTACTTACCTCACATCTTTATACCAGCTGTTTAATCATTCGTACTAACCTGACATTCTTTTCTGTACCCACTGTTTAACCATTCGTTCTTACCTGACATTCTTGTCTGTACCAACTGTTTAATCATTCGTACTTACCTGATATTCTTTTCTGTACCCACTGCTTAATCATTCGTACTTACCCGACATTCTTTTCTGTACCCACTGTTTAACCATTCGTTCTTACCTGACATTCTTGTCTGTACCCACTGTTTAATCATTCGTACTTCCCTGACATTCTTGTCTGTACCCACTGTTTAATCATTCGTACTTACCTGACATTCTTGTCTGTACCCACTGTTTAATAATTCGTACATGTACCTGACGTTTTTTTCTTTCTGTACCCGCTGTTTAATCATTCGTTCTTACCAAACGTTTTTATCTGTACGCGCTGTTTAATTATTTGTATTTACCTAACGTTCTTATCTGTACCCGCTGTTAAATCATTTGGACTTACCCGACATATTTTTCTGTACCCACTGTTTGTTTTCATAACTCGCTGTTTAATCATTACCTGACGTTTTTATCTGTATCCTCTGTTTAATCATTCGTACTTAACTGACGTTATGTTCTGTGCCCGCTGTCTTATCATTGGTACTTACTGGATGTTTGGGTTTTGTCGACTGTCAATTCCTCTTTCAGTTGGTCTATGATGGCTACTAACTCAGTCACACTGATGTTTTTAACCACTGGCATACGAGCTTGTCGACACCTGCATTTAGGCTTGAAGGTATCTTATCAAAACGACAAATACATAATTAGGCAGGCTAATTATCCCATTTCTAAATTGTTAAGGACAAATATATTTACAAGACTGTTTAGGAAACGTTGTATACACATCACACAAACACAGCTATGGATCTTAGGTGAACATTAAGAACATCTTCGTCCATATTGATGATAAAAACCATATTCAAGATATGTGTCTATATCCTCTATGGCCTGTAACTTATGTTAAATTAGTCTAAAGCATAACAATTCTTCAGCTAGGAAAAAACACACAAAAAAGTAGAATCCACATAAAACTGAATCTGACAATGCCAAGCAGATGTCATAGCAAAGAAAAAAATGTATAAATGTAAGTGGCAAGATTGATAAGAACAACCTTTAGAGAGGCCACCGAGCTACACTAGTAGACCACTAATTATATATATAAACTGAGCTGAAACCGGAGGACAAACGAAGCGGATAAGGGAAGTTATCCTGTTTTCCTGATTTAATCGTCCAAACAGGCAGTACGCCCGCAAAACCGTTTTAAATTTGCAAATGCATACTGTAGTTGTACTTGGCTGTGTACACTGTAAAATGAACCACTTCTCTCCTAAAGAGACTTATTGTAGTACCTGGCAGGAATAATAATTGTGGAAGTTTACTGGAACCTTTCACTAAATTTAAAGAAACATCTGTAACATAACCAACTGATATTTGACCAGAAAACGTCATTGTAACCTTAGATTTCATCAATATAGTTTGATGTTGGCGGGAACACGAGGAAAATAGGACATTCTGCATGGACCATCATTTCCATGTCTTCTATTTATCATGAACGACAAGCGGTCCACGTGGCAGACCTGGTGAAGTGTACAGCATCTCCATTTACCTATGGGGTCAGGATAACACAAACCTCAGGGATAGTCTTATTATATATCCAGAAACACCAAGACAGACTAATTGAGTTTGTATTCTAAAAGAACATTTTAGCTACATGGCGTACACTTTACACTTATCAATAAGAACAGAATAGAGTGACAGATAATTATCCAAACAATCTCTTGATTAATTTAATTCAATGACCCCCTAAGTAAAAAGGTGCAAATGTTGCACACCTGGTGAAAGTGGACATTCCTCGGAGTCCAGTGATTTGTAGGGACAAAATGCTCCCCCATATTGTGGGATTGGATTCGTGCACTTCCGACATCTTGACCGGATGACATCATTGTTAACAACAGCGCATGCGCTCCAGGTTCGCCATGACGACCATGCTCCATCCACTAAAAATAACAGGTACATCGTAGATGAATGTTTGATATCATTTAAATTGCTCAGTCCATATCACATTACTCCTTCTGATATTTCTACACATGATATTAAAATATTTACAATTCCACTACATCGGCATAAAGTAGCACACGTGATGGTTAAATATAACAATGCATGCATTAACAAAGATTAACAAAGATTATTTTTTTGTCTAATCAATATGAAAATGTAGATCTATTTATTATCCCCTCGCCATAATATTTCGAGGGGATCTATAGGATTTAACCCGTACACACGTATGTACGTATGTTACACTCTTTGTCATCGCTCTAGCGACTTCATTTCTCCAATCTCTTGTCGGGAATAATATGAAAAAATAATAACATTACTTAGTGTCCAGTTGGTGACATTACTCAGTATCCGATCTACAACATTTCCCGGTTTCCGGTCTGTGATATGACCAAGTATCTGGTCGGCGATATTACCCAGTAGCCAGTCTGTGCCATTACCAAGTATCCTTTGTGTGACATTATCCAGTATTCTGTCTGTGACATTATCCAGTATTCGGTCTGTGACATTTATCAGTATCCGGTCTGTGACATTACCCAGTCTCCGGTCTTTGATATTACCCAATATCCGGTCTATAACATTACTCAGTATCCGGTCTTTGATAAAGCCCAATATCCGATCTATAACATACACGGTAACCGGTCTGTGACATAACCCAGTATCCTTTCTATGACATTACCCAGTATCCGGTCTGTGATATTTCCCGGTATTCGGTCTGCGATATTACCCAGTATCCGGTCTGTAATATTACCCTGTATGAGGTCTGACATTTCTCTATATCCGGTCTGTAACATCACCCAATATCAGGTCTGTGACATTGCCCAGTATCCGGTATATGGTATTACTAAGCATTCGGTCTATGATTTTACCGAGCATCCGGTCTGTGACATTACCAAGTATCCGGTCTGTGACATTACCCAGTATCCGATCTATAACATTTCTCAGTATCCGGTTTATAACATTACCCAGTATCCGGTCTTTGATATTACCCAATATCCGGTCTATAACATACCCGGTATCTGGTCGGTGACATTATCCATTATCCGATTTATAACATTACCCAGTATTCGGTCTGTATCATTACCCAGTATCCGTTCTGGGACATACACCAGTATCCGGTCTGTGACATCACCTGGTATCCGGTCTTTTAAATTACCCAGTATTCCGGGTTTAAGGAACATTACCAGTATTTTGTTGAGTGATACGCATGTTTATCGATGTGAGTTTGTATATGTGCCATCACTGCCACCACCCGGATTTAAACATTATATGAATGTGAAAGTAAATCGATTAAAAACTCCATACAACGTTGATGGAAGAAATCTGTGTTAAGTTCAAATACAAAAATGAACGAAATATGATTTTTTTAATCGGATACATATAAAGTTCCAAACAATTTAAACCGGACGTCTGAATTATTTGGCTAGTGCAGCTATAACACTACATCTACCATAAGAAATGCATTGTTTAATTTCAAGTACATTCGAATGTTATACAGAGACGGTTTTAGTCTTTGACAAAATGAATTTATTCACAATGTTCATTTCAAAAGATGACACTAATAATAGTTAACAATATATATATATATATTCAATTATAGTATATCAATTCTATCTTCTTGTAATATGATGTATATGTACATGTAACTGTTCTGTTTCACTGTGTCTTGAAAAAGGAGCGGATCGCTCCGAAAATTTGACAACCTAAACTTGTCCACACTGTTGGAATTACTTCTTTGCCCCATATATATTTATATATATAAATAAAACAAAACACGAAGACTAGTATAATCGGCTAGCGCTTTCGCCCATCTTGGGGCTCTTCAGGCGATTAAAATTTATTTGTGACGTCATAAATGGAGTACACATACTTAAGACGTAATTGACAAAGGTGCGCAGGTACATGTAAATATATGTACATGTTAATATGAACTTGATAAAATAGATATAACACATTCTTGGTTTCTTGATAAACACTTTTGTAAATGTCTGGGTGATGTTTCTTGGGTGCATAGCACGGGCGAAGGTTGTCAACATATGTAAAGAAAATGCAACCGGAATTTAAACCGGAACATCCAAAATCAAGATGTATATTTTTGTAAGTGATCATTGCCGATTGGCCAAGTCCAGTTCCTCTACACATTGATAGTAGGTTAAACATTTCACACTGATGGTCCGACAAGCCCTTTAAAAATGGTATTGCCACCCTTAATGTCAACCTATTGATAAGTCATATTTAAAGACTCCAGTTCAACATCGGAATTCAAACTTATGTTCTCTACATTTTATATAGAACGGAATGGCATCATCCACAATACCGGTATTTAAGGAGAACATCCTAAGAGTGCCCAGTATAATAATATCCAGTATTGAACCACTTGATGATTAAATCTTCCAATTCATGATCAGAGGGCGAGTTGGAGTAGTGGTGTGTTGAAGTTGTCCTCTCGGTGATGGCCAAATCCTATATCTACCAGTAAAATATTGGTAGACGTTCACCAAGTCGATGGCACAAATGAAGAGGATGGGTATAGCCAACATAACAATACCCAGTAGAGCTCCTATGACCGCCGAGGACTTCCGAGAATCTGGAGCAGACATTTTCTTCCTAACAGCCGCTGTAATTGACAAAGAGAATGCTTCAAACAGATACATGTACCCCTTCATTATCACGAAATTGATTCTGGATACAATTCTTCAATGTTACATTTTTTTTTGAGTTTGCGTTTTGATAACTCTAAACGTTTTTCTCCATTCTTTTGATTTTTCCACAATTTGTATTTATTTTCTGATTGTGTTTGATTCCCTCTTTGCTGTTAAGTATAACAACATGTATTCCATTGTGTTGCGTCAATTGCACTTTTCTCTCGCCGCTGTTCTTTTGCTTAAACTTACTTGACAGATGAACCTTTCAAGACGCTTTACTGTTCAAACTAACTAAACGTTAATGTTTTAACAAGCTGATGTTCTGTGTATCCAACGACATTTATGTTTGAACAAGCTTATGGTCCGTGTTTCCAACTTATTCGACATATATGTTTTAACAAGCTTAATGGTCTACGTATACTACTAACTGGACATTTTATGTTTTAACAAACCGATGTTCTATGTATCCAACTTATTCGACATTTATGTTTTAACAAGCTGATGTTCTATGTACCCAACTTATTCGACATTTGTGTTTTAACAAGCTGATGTTCTATGTATCTAAGTTATTCGACATTTGTGTTTTAACAAGCTGATGTTCTATGTATCTAACTTATTCGACATTTATGATTTAATAAGTTTGATGTTTTACTTACCTCACATCTTTATCTATACCAGCTGTTTAATCATTCGTACTAACCTGACATTCTTTTCTGTACCCACTGTTTAATCATTCGTACTTACCTGACATTCTTGTCTGTACCCACTGTTTAATTATTCGTACTTACCTGATATTCTTCTCTGTACCCACTGTTTAATCATTTGTACTTACCTGATATTCTTTTCTGTACCCACTGTTTAATCATTTGTACTTACCTGACATTCTTTTCTGTACCCACTGTTTAATCATTCGTACTTACACGACATTCTTTTCTGTACCCACTGTTTAATCATTTGTACTTACCCGACATTCTTTTCTGTACCCACTGTTTAATCATTTGTACTTACCCGACATTCTTGTCTGTACCCACTGTTTAATCATTCGTACTTACCTGATATTCTTTTCTGTACCCACTGTTTAATCATTCGTACTTACACGACATTCTTTTCTGTACCCACTGCTTAATCATTCGTACTTACCCGACATTCTTTTCTGTCCCCACTGTTTAATCATTCGTACTTACCCGACATTCTTGTCTGTACCCACTGTTTAATCATTCGTACTTACCTGACATTCTTGTCTGTACCCACTGTTTAATTATTCGTACTTACCTGATATTCTTCTCTGTACCCACTGTTTAATCATTTGTACTTACCTGACATTCTTTTCTGTACCCACTGTTTAATAATTCGTACATGTACCTGACGTTTTTTCTTTCTGTACCCGCTGTTTAATCATTCGTTCTTACCTAACGTTTTTATCTGTACGCGCTGTTTAATTATTTGTATTTACCTAACGTTCTTATCTGTACCCGCTGTTAAATCATTTGGACTTACCCGACATATTTTTCTGTACCCACTGTTTGTTTTCATAACTCGCTGTTTAATCATTCGTGCTTACCTGACGTTTTTATCTGTATCCTCTGTTTAATCATTCGTACTTAACTGACGTTATGTTCTGTACCCGCTGTTTTATCATTGGTACTTACTGGATGTTTGGGTTTTGTCGACTGTCAATTCCTCTTTCAGTTGGTCTATGATGGCTACTAACTCAGTCACACTGATGTTTTTAACCACTGGCATACGAGCTTGTCGACACCTGCATTTAGGCTTGAAGGTATCTTATCAAAACGACAAATACATAATTAGGCAGGCTAATTATCCCATTTCTAAATTGTTCAGGACAAATATATTTACAAGACTGTTTAGGAAACGTTGTATACACATCACACAAACACAGCTATGGATCTTAGGTGAACATTAAGAACATGTTCGTCCATATTGATGATAAAAACCATATTCAAGATATGTGTCTATATCCTCTATGGCCTGTAACTTATGTAAAATTAGTCTAAAGCATAACAATTCTTCAGCTAGGAAAAAACACACAAAAAAGTAGAATCCACATAAAACTGAATCTGACAATGCCAAGCAGATGTCATAGCAAAGAAAAAAATGTATAAATGTAAGTGGCAAGATTGATAAGAACAACCTTTAGAGAGGCCACCGAGCTACACTAGTAGACCACTAATTATATATATAAACTGAGCTGAAACCGGAGGACAAACGAAGCGGATAAGGGAAGTTATCCTGTTTTCCTGATTTAATCGTCCAAACAGGCAGTACGCCCGCAAAACCGTTTTAAATTTGCAAATGCATACTGTAGTTGTACTTGGCTGTGTACACTGTAAAATGAACCACTTCTCTCCTAAAGAGACTTATTGTAGTACCTGGCAGGAATAATAATTGTGGAAGTTTACTGGAACCTTTCACTAAATTTAAAGAAACATCTGTAACATAACCAACTGATATTTGACCAGAAAACGTCATTGTAACCTTAGATTTCATCAATATAGTTTGATGTTGGCGGGAACACGAGGAAAATAGGACATTCTGCATGGACCATCATTTCCATGTCTTCTATTTATCATGAACGACAAGCGGTCCACGTGGCAGACCTGGTGAAGTGTACAGCATCTCCATTTACCTATGGGGTCAGGATAACACAAACCTCAGGGATAGTCTTATTATATATCCAGAAACACCAAGACAGACTAATTGAGTTTGTATTCTAAAAGAACATTTTAGCTACATGGCGTACACTTTACACTTATCAATAAGAACAGAATAGAGTGACAGATAATTATCCAAACAATCTCTTGATTAATTTAATTCAATGACCCCCTAAGTAAAAAGGTGCAAATGTTGCACACCTGGTGAAAGTGGACATTCCTCGGAGTCCAGTGATTTGTAGGGACAAAATGCTCCCCCATATTGTGGGATTGGATTCGTGCACTTCCGACATCTTGACCGGATGACATCATTGTTAACAACAGCGCATGCGCTCCAGGTTCGCCATGACGACCATGCTCCATCCACTAAAAATAACAGGTACATCGTAGATGAATGTTTGATATCATTTAAATTGCTCAGTCCATATCACATTACTCCTTCTGATATTTCTACACATGATATTAAAATATTTACAATTCCACTACATCGGCATAAAGTAGCACACGTGATGGTTAAATATAACAATACATGCATTAACAAAGATTAACAAAGATTATTTTTTTGTCTAATCAATATGAAAATGTAGATCTATTTATTATCCCCTCGCCATAATAGTTCGAGGGGATCTATAGGATTTAACCCGTACACACGTATGTACGTATGTTACACTCTTTGTCATCGCTCTAGCGACTTCATTTCTCAAAGGAATTTCCTGAAATTTCGCAGAAGTGTTTGGTATGACATGCTTTGAACAAGTCCGCGTTTCGTGTTTCTATGTTGAAGGTCAAGTTCATTGTTACTATTTTTAGAAAAAATAACTTTGTCATCGGTCTACCGTCTTCATTCCTCAACAGAATTTAATGAAACTTCATACAAGTATTTGGCATGGCAATGTATTGAACAAGTTCGCGTTTCGGGCTACTGCGTAAAGGTCAAGGTCACTTTTACTATTTTTTAGAAAAATATTTTGTTATCGCTTTTATAATAATAAACAAGATTTATATATAACGCCCTATACAATTTGTAAAATTACTCCAAAGCGCTTTACAACATATGGATAATAGTATTAGTTATAATTGTGAAACAAAAACAAAGGCTTCCAATCTCTTTTATGCATTAAGCAAGCAGATACTCATCGCAATGTGCACATAAATGAATAAATAAAGGGTAGTATTTACATGACGTCTTTGCAAAGACCCTAAAATACAGACGTGAAAAGGCGAGTTTTGATGTCCTTCTTGAATTTGGCCAGGGTATTTGACTTTCTAATAGCATATGGTAAGCTTTTTCACAACGTGTCCGAAACCCTCCCAAAGCACCGGTTTCCATAGGTCACAGTACAAAACTTTGGGACTCGCAACAATGGTTCTGACTCCGACCGCAGTGATCGTGACGGCTGATACAGGATAACAAGCTTCTGTAGGTACTGGGGAGCTGTTCCATTCAGTGCCTTGTATGTGTACACCAACATTTTGTACTGCGACCTGTATCGTACAGGTAACCAGTCCAATGAATATAGCACAGGTGTAATGTGCTCTCTCTTTCGAGTACGAGTAACCAGCCGTGCTGCAGTGTTCTGGACCCTCTGTAGACGACTAGTTTGATGTTCAGATATACCACAGAGCAGGGCGTTACCACAATCCAACCAAGAGGTAACAAGTGAATGCACCAAAATCTTGCATGCACCTGCAGTTATAAACTGCCGGATACAGCCGATGTTCCTGATCTGGTAGTAACAGGATTTGACAAAAACGTTCACTTGACTACATTCCTTATATCAATGGAATAAACATTTATTATCCATCGAAGAATGCAGCCGTTAGAGCAGATACTGTTACATCAATTAGTTTTCAAACATATCCTCAAACATATGTCACATAATGTCCTAATGCGAGGGGATTTGTATCATTTGTGACGTGAGGTATTCTTTTTGTGAAATATTTGCTTATCTCATTTACATTAAGGGACACGGTGCGGTTTCAAATTATTCGAGAATTCACATTGCTTTCTCGAAATTATAGCAAGGAAAACCCCCATTACCTAGAACCAGACCTGACATGCAATTTGAATTAATTGACAAATACCGGGACAAGGTGGAAGTTTGCACGCGGCCGTGCTAATCTTCGTTCCGGTACATGGCAGACCACCATGATCTGGTGCTGGGTTATCACACAGCCGAGTCCTGTGCATCGATCCGAGTTCACAGGTTACTGAACAGTCACTCCACGAGCTCCATGGGCACCACATACCATCGACTAAAACAAGAAAAATAATCCGTTTTTCATGACGGTATCCCGCTAACTGTTTGACATAGCTTAGAGGTCTGCTACCCGTTTCCACGACTCTGTGGGTCAAACCCGCGCCTGCCAGTAGAGATCGAGGGGTCACACTGCTCTCAAATAAGAACAGTGACTATAAACCAATATGGTAACGTACATTTACCTCAAAGAACACATAATACCTGTAGCCGTTATTACAGATGCGATAATGTCAATCTAAAAGCCACACATTTTTTAACGTCCTATCAACAGCTAAGGTCATTTAAGGACATGCCTTCATGTGTGCTCTGTAAGCGTACCTTTACTGTACTGACACAAGTGACAATGTACAGCATCACTAATATATATTTTATTGACAACTGTGACAATATGTCAGCCATTCAGTACATACCTGGACACGGTGTCGCACCACACTCAAGGTTTTGGCTGCTGGTTCCGGTACAGGACGAACCTCCATTTTGTGGTGATGGACTATCACATGACCGGCCCCTGATCTGAACCCCACCTCCACAGGATACCGAACACGTCCCCCAACCACTCCAGGACCCCCAGGAACCGTCAACTTTAAAGCAAAAAAAAAGGTAAAATATTGGTAGGGAGCTTTTTTTCAAATTTCACATCTTATAATCTAGATCTGTTAATACATAAATAAATTATTAAAGAAATAATCTAAATTAAAGTAAACCACATCTTAAAAGGGGATGTTATAACAGTAATATCCACACAGTTCCAGCTATAAAAGATGTCTGAATTTAAAAACGGATATCTTAGTTTCTAATAATATGTCAATGTTTTATTTTTGTTTTCGACCTACATATATACAACAACTGTTGGCGTTGAAAAAAGACCACACAGGTTCTCAATAGCCATAATTATAAAGCAGATAATATTTTACTTTTCTGGAAATCACCTATTCCGTGTATACTGTAATTTTAACAGTGCGTTTTCTTTAAATGATTCCACGAAAAAAAATCATTAAACTCAACAAATAAACAAAGAAGGACTGGGACCTCTCTGTTCCCCCTGAACGCTTAAAAGGCTAAAATAATCTTGGATTATACATGTATATACTAACCGATACAAACAACATTGAGTCTGTCGATGTGTAAGTAGTCATCGTTGGTATTTGTACAGTAGCCATTGCATGGAATACTTGAACACTTAAAATTCTTCATAAATTCTTTCTGAAATAAATGACAAGGTTACATGTATGTTATTGTACACTTTACATTATTTTGAAATCCAACATTGTATAGGAAATAAACGAGACGCAAGAGTCTTTCTCAATGAGCGACATACCTCCTGTAGTACGCCTGAGGGAACATATGCAATGTTCATGCGTTAAAACTCTGGGTTTTCGTCATTAACGACGGTTCTTTTTATGTCATTACACACCCTTCGTTCTCGTTCTTTCGCAAAATACCAACTACCAGTGTATTCTGCCTTTAACTTAATTATGTAAGTCTGTTTTATCTGTAGGAACATTTGTATATTTGTTACCTTCTAAGCTAAAAAACAGCAACTACATGCGGAAAGATTTAGGGGTTTCCACTCACACATGGACTAGAAAATATTAAAATATCATCTTGTCTCTTTCAACGTTCATCTACCACGTTTATTGTACCAATATTTGTTGTTCACTGTGCAAATGAGCGACACCACCTGTAAACAGAGAAAGGAAGTCAGAAAATTATTATTATGTAATTTCCCAAGTCTTGTACAGTTGGCAGCTGTGTTTCCTCAATGTCCCCCGTACACAGGACTTAGAGGTTTACAGATGTCCAAATATTGAATACTTCGTATTAGTCTATGCTTACCATTTTCTCTAAATCACCAAATTCCAAAAGTTCCAAAAGATAGCACCCTTCCCGGCATTCTTCGTATGCAGAACGCTTGCTTCGTCGTTGTGGCCGAAGAAATGTCTTGGCCTGAGCTTCAGAAAGGATCGCCTTACCTATGATACACAAAATAACAAACACAACGAAAACAAAAAAATAGTGACATAAACATATCGTTTTATAGTGTAGTACTTTGGAAATGACTACTAGATAAACAAGACATTTAATTACCGATTTTGCACATAGATTTTGTAAAATACAATAACAACAAAGACATAAATGAAAATATCAATTAAACAAAACTTCAAACCCGTCGAAATCAGGTGCTCCGAAAATTTAAGTGTTTCCTTCGTCATCCGTCACGATATCTCCTGATAAATCCAAAAAAATAGCTTATCATTGGGTGAATTGACTTGTTAATGTATCGGGCGAGTAGTTTATCTCCCTACTTCAATTTCATAAGAACATCCCGTAATAGCCTCTTGTAAGTACAGTTTCTTGTTCAAAATACAAATCTTCATGTACACATGATAAAAGGATGGTAACATGAATTATGTTTCAATCTTTTAACAATTCACGCTCAATCATTAACATTAAAAGTGCATTGTCAATTGCCTTTACTGAGCATTTCTTCAGAAACTGTGTTATTTTCTTTGTTAATGTATCGGGAGAGTATTTTTTTTACCAATACCCATGTTATCAGTATCTTGTTCAATATAGAAATGGTCATGTACACATAACAGGAGCATGGTAATATGAATTATGTTTCAATCACCGAACACTCAATCATTATCATTAAAAGTGGTTGTTAATTGCTTACACCGAACATCCATTTCCTGTAAAAACTGTGTTAATCTCTTTATGGTTATGCAACCTATTAGGTGATTTAAATTGATATTTATCGAGTACTTTTGCCTACTTTGCTAAAAATGCATGACATGAATGTAAACATGATATGCATGCATCCATCATAACACATTGAAAACACTATTTCTCATTCTGATGGTTTAGGTTTTGTACAAAACATAAGATAATGTTTCATTATGATATATTTATACATTTTTATGACTAATAACTAATGCTAATTTAATAGTAAAACAACATTGTTAACAGACATTGAAATAATTTGTAGACTTCAAAGTTCTATACACAGCGCAATTAAATGTTGTTATTCTGACGAGAAAAAACCGAAATAGAGGCTTGATTATTTTCCAAATGATCATATAAAGATACATGATTAAAGCATTACAATATAAGTCAAATGACAGCAGACGAAGTCAGCTGAACCATTGGTGTTTATGGCGAAGCAATTAATAATGACGTACTGTGTAATTTGAAGCGTGTTTGAGTTGACCCGGATGACAAGGAGTACCTGTTACATTTATACGTACTGTGTAATATGAAGCGTGTTTGAGTTGACCTGGATGACAAGGAGTTCCTGTTACATTTATATGTACTGTGTAATATGAAGCGTGTTTGAGTTGACCTGGATAACAAGGTGTTCCTGTTACATTTATATGTACTGTGTTATATGAAGCGTGCTTGAGTTGACCCGGATGACAAGGAGTACCTGTTACATTTATACGTACTGTGTAATATGAAGCGTGTTTGAGTTGACCCGGATGACAAGGAGTATTTGAAGCGTGTTTGAGTTGACCCGGATGACAAGGAGTATTTGAAGCGTGTTTGAGTTGACCCGGATGACAAGGAGGACCTGTAACATATATATGTACTGTCTTATATAAAGCGGGTTTGAGTTGACCCGGATATACTGTGTAATATGAAGCGTTTTTGAGTTGACCCGGATATACTGTGTAATATGAAGCGTTTTTGAGTTGACCCGGATATACTGTGTAATATGAAGCGTGTTTGAGGTGACCCGGATGTACTGTGTTATATGCAGCGTGTTTGAGTTGACCCGGATGTACTGTGTAATATGAAGCGTGTTTGAGATGACCCGGATGTACTGTGTTATATGAAGCGTGTTTGAGTTGTCCGGGATAACAAGGAGTACCTGTTACATTTATATGTACTGTGTAATATGAAGCGTGTTTGAGTTGACCTGGATGACAAGGAGTTCCTGTTACATTTATATGTACTGTGTAATATGAAGCGTGTTTGAGTTGACCCGGATCAGCAGACGAAGTCAGCTGAACCATTGGTGTTTATTGCGAAGCAATTAATAATGACGTACTGTGTAATTTGAAGCGTGTGTGAGTTGACCCGGATGACAAGGAGTACCTGTTACATTTATATGTACTGTGTAATATGAAGCGTGCTTGAGTTGACCTGGATGACAAGGAGTACCTGTTACATTTATATGTACTGTGTTATATGAAGTGTGTTTGAGATGACCCGGATGACAAGGAGTACCTGTTACATTTATACGTACTGTGTAATATGAAGCGTGTTTGAGTTGACCTGGATGACAAGGAGTTCCTGTTACATTTATATGTACTGTGTTGTATGAAGCGTGTTTGAGTTGACCTGGATAACAAGGAGTACCTGTTACATTTCTATGTACTGTGTTATATGAAGCGTGTTTGAGATGACCCCGATGTACTGTGTAATATGAAGCATGTTTGAGTTGACCCAGATGTACTGTGTTATATGAAGCATGTTTGAGTTGACCCAGATGTACTGTGTTATATGAAGCGTGTTTGAGATGACCCCGATGTACTGTGTAATATGAAGCATGTTTGAGTTGACCCAGATGTACTGTGTTATATGAAGCATGTTTGAGTTGACCCAGATGTACTGTGTTATATGAAGCATGTTTGAGTTGACCCAGATGTACTGTGTTATATGAAGCGTGTTTGAGATGACCCGGATGTACTGTGTAATATGAAGCGTGTTTGAGTTGACCCGGATGTACTGTGTTATATGCAGCGTGTTTGAGATGACCCGGATGTACTGTGTTATATAAAGCGTGTTTGAGATGACCCGGATGTACTGTGTTATATGAAGCGTGTTTGAGATGACCCGGATGTACTGTGTAATATGAAGCATGTTTGAGTTGACCCAGATGTACTGTGTTATATGAAGCGTGTTTGAGTTGACCCAGATGTACTGTGTTATATGAAGCATGTTTGAGTTGACCCAGATGTACTGTGTTATATGAAGCGTGTTTGAGATGACCCGGATGTACTGTGTAATATGAAGCGTGTTTGAGTTGACCCGGATGACAAGGAGTTCCCGTTACATTTATATGTACTGTGTTATATGAAGCGTGTTTGAGTTGACCTGGATAACAAGGAGTACCTGTTACATATATATGTACTTTGAAATATGAAGCGTGTTTGAGTTGACCCGGATGTACTGTGTTATATGAAGCGTGTTTGAGTTGAGCCGGATGTACTGTGTAATATGAAGCGTGTTTGAGTTGACCCGGATGTACTGTGTAATATGAAGCGTGTTTGAGTTGACCCGGATGTAGTGTGTAAGATGAAGCGTGTTTGAGGTGACCCGGATGTACTGTGTAATATGAAGCGTGTTTGAGTTGACCCGGATGACAAGGAGCACCTGTTACATATATGTCCTCGTGGCGTTATTAATTTTGTCTTTATGTCCCTTTTGTATGCAATTGAATTTATATTGATTTTTTTCCAGTCTTCATTCATTATGTACGAGCTTAGACTTTACCGACAAATATTGTATACATTTGTTATGCATGAGGTGATGAATCATTGTCACGGAAGCGAAGCCGTGTGTTGCCGTACATGGCCTCGGTCTGATTGATAACTTGTTGATATAAAAAGTCACCTGATCGAACTGACGAAATGAAATGAATAAACCCTTTATAATTGGTTGATGTAAGTTGTATGAATTTAATACCGATATATTCGGATGGTATGGGTATAAATAAATGCTATCTCCATTGACTGAAACAAGGTGTTGGAACGATCAAGCGTAGCGATTATAATGTGTTTCGGGTATTACTTTATCTGGTTGATAAGATAGTATATCCAAACATTTGGTTAATTATGAATAATTCTATCTTGGTATGTTAATTAAAAATATATTATTAATGAGTATTCTGTATAATTATTGGTAAAATATATATAGTGAAGAAATATTATTGGTAGGCGATTTTCAATGATATTTATCATTATCTTTTTACGTATGTTTGTTTTGAAAACATCGCGTCATCTTCCACTCAGACATAACCACGGATAATAGTTTGTGAACCACTTTGAGACGACCTACGAACTAGGTTGTGGATAAAACGGTAACTAAGAACCTCGAATTATTTATGAATTATTATTATTATAAATGTATATTTATATATGCTCTCTGGTGCGTAGACATATATGTATATTTATATATTTACATTTGCATGGCATTGTCACTATATAGCCTCTTTGAAAGCTGTGTCGTTGATGGGACTTTAATTACCATGCAGCACGGGACACAATTCTTAGCGTATTAATACAACACTGACCGGAACTACAATATCCAATGTAAATAAACATGACGACTGCTGAAATATCGCTGGACATTGCGAGACTTGACAATGTCATTGTAAATTTACGTGCAAAATAAAAAAATAAATAAAAAATACTTTTATTACAACTAAAACAAGATCAAGGTCTGCAATATCGTACAAAATGCACATCGGTTGAAATCACCAATATGGGAACAATTTTAACGCCCATGCAATTTATCAGAAATATCGTCTGTTTTAGTTTAAACATATTTATTGCCAAAATTAGACAAGGGATTAGGCACAAGTTATAACAACTTATCAACGCCTTCTCCCAATATACATTTGAAATGACATTACAATAATAACAATAAATATATACAATTGTTATTACAATTTGAACTCAAAATCTCTTGCTGGATTTAATAAAGTTTTGCACAGATCTAAACATGTTTGAGTTAAGGTCCACGGAAAATTGTGAATTGCCAAACAAAAGAATTTCTAAATTTAACGCAACATTCAAATTAATCAAATTTTGAACCAAAATACGTCTTTCGTTTGTAAAAAGTTGACATTCCAGAAAATAGTGAAAGACATTCTTACAAGGATGACCACAATTTCAAGATGCACTCTCAACAAGGTTAACTCTAAAAAGGTCATACTTAAGGGAACTGCACTGGTGTCGGAGCTTAG